TTAATCCATACCGTCCTATCGGTTGCAACGATATCAGTAGCATTCTTCATAAGATGATCATCATATCCTTGACCTAAGAACCATAGCTCAATAGAATTGAACCAAGAAATGTAATAGCTACTGCCTTGAAGTTTTACAGTAGTAATACTGGTAGAATTAGGAAGAAGAGACTTGATTAGACCTGATTCAGCCATATTCAGTAGCAGAACAGCGAAGAGGAAGGTCGTCGAAGAGGGGCGAGCTTGGCCGGAGAAGGTTTGAGAAGGTTTCAGGTGGCTGTCTTAGGTTGCCGGGTCACTGGGTAGGTGGGATAGTGGTGTGGACTATTTAGAAGAGAGAGAATAATAGGTAATTGGGAAATCCCTTAGAAGAGAGAAAGAGGAAAAGAAAGGGGGGAAAAAAGTGGGGGGAATTGTAGTTCAAGGGCCCTTTGTTTGGCTCTGTTGATACCATGTGAAGAAGGGAAGAATTGTAGTCAGGCCCTTTTTGGCTCTGAATACCATGTGAAGAAGAAGTGAAGAAGAAGAATGAGAGGAAATATTGACATGATTATTCCCTCAAGAATTGGGGATATAAATAGTACTACATATGTACAATATAGGTAACTAATCAAGGATCCCAAATAATCTGCTAACTAATCAAGGATCCCAAATAATCTGCTAACTAATCAAGTATCCCAAATAATCTGCTAATGATCTGCTAATTATAGCTCCTAATCTCAGCAGCTAATTACAACTAATTACAGCTAATTACAGCTAAATACAGCAGCTAATCATAACACTCCCTTTCAAGCTGGGGCATACATGTTGTATGTTCCTAGCTTGCCACAAATGTATTCAATTCGAGGTCCTTTATTCTGACTAGGAACATCACAATAGATCCCAAATAATCTGCTAATGATCTGCTAATTATAGCTCCTAATCTCAGCAGCTAATTACAACTAATTACAGCTAATTACAGCTAAATACAGCAGCTAATCATAACAGTATCTATAACTTAAATATGTGTGCATGTGTGCGGATGAATATTTTTCAATTAGGTGCATTTAGCTGGATTATCTGACTAGAACATCACAATAGGCAATTTTACTTACTAATGATGTCACATTAAAACACCCACTTCATTTATCTGTTATCTTTCATTTTTTTATTTGATCTCTCTTCTTTTTTGAAAAAAAAAATCAATTTTTCCTTCTAATTGTCTTGCATATTCCTAAAATATTCTATAAAAATAAGAGAGAACGAAAATAGAAAGATGAAAATGACAATCTGGGAAAAAAAAGAAGTGAAGTGGTAGGGTAAAATAGTTTATTTTAATATTACAGCAAGAAATTCCAGCCAAATGCACCTAAATGAAAAAAAAAATCAATTCAACCGCTTGATTAATAAAAAATAAATTTGAAACATTAAATAGAAGAATGACAAAATTGAAAATACAGAAACCAACATCATTCCTATCTGGTAAAATATCTAAAATCCTTTTTCCTAGATTGCATATGTATACAGAAAGATATTCAAAACTATAAGCAGGATTGCTGAAATTGACTGATTTCTCTTTCAAAGTTCTCAATAGCCAAATTTAAAATCTCAATTCACAACCACATATGCTAACAGCAAGGCAGCTATGTTCAATATCATAAAATCAGTTGGCTTGGCCTCTATGAACATTCTCATTGTACATCCATATTTTTCTTCTATTCAATTTTCTTCCCTTCATTTAAAGATAATAAAAGAAGACCTTTCTTAAATGTGAAGTCTAATCCATCACCCATCACATCACAAAACTTATCAAAGTTGCAGTTCAACTAGAAGCCTAATAGACAACCTGAATCAGAAAATATACTGGATTTTCAAATCTCTCCTACCATTGTCAATTGAATGCATTCTTCTTTTGGTTCCCTTTCCTTTCATCTTTTATGTGTAGAAAAGGACCTAAACATGTTTTAGGCTACATTATCAGATTATAACTTGTTATCCAAAATAACATGGTGGGCTGCCTTCAAAAAAAAAAAAGTAAATAACCAGATCATTCTATTTCCAAGAATTTCCTTAATGAATCATCAAAAAGGGCACAATAAGATATATTGGCTTTCCTAAAGCAACACAATTTCTAGCGTCGTTTCAAAATGCAGTTTATGTAAACGAGTTATCAAACTTCTTCACACCATACTTTTCTTGCCTTCATCAACCATTAGAATGCAATATTTTATCAACAGGACTATTTGACAAGACAATCATTAAATAATCAAATATTTAGTCAAGGTTCAAAATAGAGCTGTTCCATAATGGGCAACAATGCTACTGCCTTGGAGCTCAAACCTGGTTCTTTCTAATAAACATTACTCAACAATCCTAAATGACAAATGAACTGGTGTATATAGAAAGCATTTATCAACAAAATTCCATCCTAATGTATGATCTTGATCTATCATATAATGGTTGGCTTTAATTCACTCTGTGGGGAATGTAAAATTAAATGCCATTAAATCAAGCACGTGCGTCTAATTCTTGAAATATGCATACATAACAATACTTTATGAAAATGCTTACTTGATTTCATTTAACTTTATTTCCTAGTTCATATTGGCTTTGGCATTAGAGTGCCATCGCATGGTCCATCTCCAGCCTACTCATTCTCATGTTTCTGCGTCTATGTTTACACATTCAAGAGAAATCCATTTGGAACTTCCACTCCCAACTCCCAGAAACAATAGAACATATACGGTCTGTGTATGCATGTGTCAATCAAATCCAAGTGTCATTAAATCCAAGTATTATTTAATTAAATGATAAATTTGTTAGGAACTAGCATAGTTCCACAAAATGAATGCAAACACAACGCATTTGAATAGAATAATTGAATTAAAGGCCAAAACACCTATACATAGTGAAAAGATCAAAAAAAAAAAAAAAAAACCCTCCGGTAAATAAGTGCTTATTCAGCATTTGATTAAACTAACAAAAATAACATTTGAACTTAAGACAAATCCCACATGAATCTGTTTGTGTACCAAAATAGACCATAAAAAAAGAAATAAATTGCCTAATTGAAGTACAGTACCAGTTTAACAATTTTTACTTCCCTGTCATATTGCTTACTGCATTCATAGATAATATTCCTAAATATTGATCTTGCCGCCAACTCAAACAGTTAGCATGAGTTGTATTTTTTTTAATTCCCAAATATAGAAAGAGTGCTCAGTTAATTCTTTTAATCGCCCTAAACATGCCAAAATTAGCATTGATGGTAGGTACAACTCATTGGCTGAACAACTATCAGAGTTCCTCAAACCCCATGAGGCAATTCATTAGCAACATAAATTTTATTTAACAAAAATTTAATAACAAAATGACGAATCAATCATTATTTACACTCATAGTTTAGCTACAATCAAAATATGATTTAATACTCGATTTGTCATCAGTTTTTACCATCTATGTGTATGTGTGCACAAATATTATTAAGGCCCATATAAAGCCAGTAAACAGAGGATAATATAGAAATAAGACTTGTAGGAAGTTATACATCTAGGTTTCTTCTGTTTGTTATTGAGCTTTTGGTTTCTCTTACAAAAATTAATTATTTACAAAAACGGTTTCTAAATACAATTGCATTGAAGGGTGTTAAGTTCTAACTACCACCATATTAATTAAGGAATTATTGGTTGTCATGTAAACCCAACAATTTACCCACTTTTGTTGTTAGTTTCTCTTTACCAATTTTTAAGAATTTTCCCCATTTTCAACAAAAATGGCTCACCAATCACAACTTTTGCCCAGTATATCTAGCCTTTATTTAAACTGCCTAAATTTTCAGCATAAAGATGTAAATTGAAAATACTTAATAATGTTAATATATAAGAGGATGACCGCAAAAGGGGCACTTGTATCATTTTGGACTTTTCTTCTTGATAAGAATCACTATTTTGTTTCTATATCAATTATAGAAGAGCATCTGTACTCATAGTTGACAAAATCTGACAAAAATTTCAATTGAGAAAGCAGCTTTCCATGCAACATCTATTGCATGTGGAATAAAAATTTTAGAGGACTAACTAAGCTAGCACATCCTTTCAATGTGTGCCACATGGTACCATTTTAAAATTGAGTTTCAAATGTACTTTGTCAGAGTCCACTAAATGCGCGCTCCTTGCCCTCTTGTAAATGGTTTGTATACTTGATCAAGAAAAAGTATTCGACAAAAAATGATCAAAAAGCATTGTACTATCAGAAACAGTTATTTAAGAAGTGAAACAAGTAATATTTCTGAATAAACATGTATGGCTGAATTTCATTTGATGCATTAATACTGTAACATTTTGAATCAAATTCTTAGAAATTTGTGTGAGACACCATTTGCTATTCCAAAAGCAGTGGCCCTAACATATTACCCATGACAATCCTTTGAACTTCACTCCAACAGTGATATAAAACCATAGGCTCCGAACATAATGTAGAAGTAGAGAACGGCAAACAGTCTTCCTTTTCAATTTCAATTTGGTTTCGTTCATTTGAGTTTACTTTTCTTAATTTTTGTGTAAGAAAAATCAAACCAATCTGAAATAAACATAAATACAGAGATTATAAATCTAACCAATCCGAATTTTAAAATAAACCAAAGCAATTCCCTAATTAGGGCAATTTTGTTCAATTTTTCGTCAAAACCTAACAGTGCTAATAACTTCAGCATAACATTGTTGTCCTATTTGTGCAGTTGTAACCTATGAACTAATGAATATATATCATATCATGGAGCAAGAAATTTTTGAAGAAAAACAAAAAGATTAGTCAATTCTCAAAATCTCTTGCGCTTCGTATCGTCTAAAGCCAAAAAAATTTAAGCATCGATTAAATGGAAGTTCTAATTGTGTGAAGTGCTTTTCAGTGCTGGATCAGGTTGGTTGAATATCAATTTCATATCAAATATCTGTTCTAAAAGAATAGCAATAGAATATAAAAGAACATCTTCCGGCGTTTGTTCTCAATAAAAGAGGTTCAAACCTTGTTCCGTTCTGGCATGCAGGAAAGTGCGGGAGTGACTAGGCTGTTCCATCTTCTTTTCCTCCTCCTTCTCGCAGCCGGAAGCCGAAGCCACAACTTCTTTTTCCTCCTTGAGAAGGTGAGCCACGTTGGCGTTGAGAGAAGAGAGCAAGCAAGGACAAATGGACCTTCGCGCACTCGATTTAAGAGCAAGCGAAGGAGGAGAAAAAGAGGGAGGAACCAAACAGAGCTTTGAAGATAAGGAAGGGAGGGAAATGGAAACCCTAGGCGTTGATGGCGATTGTATTCTAAAGAGGAATGTGGAAGGAAAAGCAGAAAGTGTCATGTCTTCCTCATATACCAGAAAATGGCTCTTGCTGTTATCTATATCTAGTATATTTGCTGTTGATTGTTGATCAGGATTTAGGGAGAAAATGGTTATTTTCTGTGGCAGTGGATTTGGCTGGGTGATTGGAGGCTGCTATTCTCTGCGACGCTCGTTAGTTGACAAAAGTGTGCCTAACAAGTCCTTTCACCAAAATACGTTATTTTAAAATTACCATGACATATACATATATATATAATATATATTTAATTCCGAAATTCGTGCGCGGCTATTTTATTGAATGTTATTTTAAAATTTATTATAATTGAATTATAATTTATTTTGAAAATCTTCTTACTTGCAATTTTATAATGAATCTATTTTAGATGAAACTTTTAGGAAATAATAATTACTTTTAAACTAAGCTGACTGGAAGTGTGGAGGGACAGAAGAGGAGATATATGTTTATTTTTAGTTGTGGAGTAATGGTAATTGTTAAACTAAAGTGGAAGGGAGCATAGAGTCTAGGCAAAGTAATATGATACACATAAGTAATAATTACTTTTTAAACTACCTGACTGAAAGTGTGGAGGGAAACAGAAGAAGGAGATAATATGTTTATTTTTAGTTGTTTGGAGTAATGGTAATTGTTAAACTAAAGTGGAAGGGAGCATAGAGTCTAGGCAAAGTAATATGATACACATAAGTATAAAAATAATCATGTTATTAACTTAAAGCAAAATAAATATTTAATTAAAGTTAATAATTTAATAAAAGTAATTTAAATTAACATAGATGTAAAACAATAATTATACAAAAGAAAACTTTATTACTTACAAGAAAAGAGAGTACAAAGCTTTTGAAATAGCAGGGTAGAGATAGCACAAGCACGTTTCTTTTTTTTTTACCTCAGCCTTTCTTATATCGTATATAGCTATTTATAGAAGAATATAGACTTTATCTGATTTAAAGTCCGGATAGTTATCCTCTAAGAAGATAAACCTTATCTACATAAGATAGATAGGCCTAATATAGACAAATAGGGTAGGGCCTAATACAGACAAAAGCTTGAGAAGCCTAATACAAACAAAAGTTGCATAGGCCTAATATAGACAAACAACTTTACATATTCATAAGGTGACAAAAGAGAAAGAGCCTAATAAATCAAGCAACTTTACTTGAACATATCTGAACTGGATAGACTTTAATCTATCTGATTTATATCATAATAATCGTCTTCATGGAGAGGTGAGTAGCGAGAAGTAGCTTCATTTTCATCTTCGTTGTCTTGCAATACTTGACTATTTATCTCTTGTAGTGTTTTCTTGAATTCTTCAATTGAACTGGCAGCGGCAAGAGCAGGTTGTCATTTGCTCTTATCCGTTAAAAAATCTAAATTCTTTGGAATTTTTCGCCAAAGGTAGATGTCGCTTAGAGCTGAAATATCTTTGAACAGCTTGAACACATGCTTGGGTCTAGTTGTAATCTTTCCACCATTTGTTACTGAAAATTCTTACCAACATAGGAGGAAAGGGTAGTGGTTGAACTTGTTTAATTTGATAATTCCAGGATAAGATCCATGGAATTCCAAAAGTAGCTGTAAATGAGAGTAACTTATCTTGTCCGAAATTGGTTAATTGTTTATCATAGAATTCAAAGCCTTGTAGTATCTTTGTAGGGAAAGTTTTAATTGAACATTCGAAATACTTGAACCATTCTTGAAACTAATAAGGAAATTCTGTAATTGAACCTCGTGGAATCATCATGAACCACAAATGATTATGATTTCTCAAATAAAACGCATTATACCAAGCTGTTTTATAATCCTCATAGTTGAAAGAGCTTGGTACAAAGTTTTGACTAAATTTTTTCGCAGTGTATGGATTCTGGTTCTAGTCAGAGAGAGAGAAAACCTTTTTTATTTGAACTTTTTGAATATAAAACCTTTTTAACATCTTCTGGATCATGAATATGTTCCAGGTATCAACTAATATAAATTCATAAAACTTTCATGAATATGTTCCAGACTTATAGAGTCTGTATCAACTAATATAAATTCATAAAACTTTCATGAATATGTTCCAGACTTATAGAGTCTGTATCAACTAATATAAATTCATAAAACTTTCTATGTTTTGAAAGCGACTCGGGAATAAAATGGAAATTAGAAGGAAATACCTTTTGAGCGACTTCTAAAAAATTTAAACATTTGGTATATTATTTTTCGATGTAGGTAATTGGTATTTCTATCTCCTTATTAACATAAGGATAAGTAATTGTAGAAGATGATGATGATGCACCGGTAAGGGCGCATAGTAATTGGTTGGTTTGTTTGTAACAAAAGTAGTTGAAGCAAAAGCTGGTATTGGTAATTGAGTTGTTGAAGGTTTAGGTAATTGAGAAGAAATACTCACACTCTTTTTTCCATAACTTTCTCTTGTAAGTTTATTCTTATGGGAGTGCCCATTAAGTTTTACTTAACAAATTCTTCAGATAAAGGGGAAAACTTATTTGTTTCTATCTTTTTCCTACAAAAATTCGCGAGTAAGAAAATCAGGTAAAGAGTTAGAAGTACTTTTGATGGCCTCAACCTCAAAATCGAAACACAATAAAATGGCTTGCCATCTAGCGAAAATTTTTTTTGAAACAACATTTTTAACATCTTTTTCTAAAACATTTTTGGCTGCTGAGCAGTCAATTCGTAAAAGGAATTTTTTGTTAATTAAATCATCTTCAAACTTTGTAATACATAATTAAATCATCTTCAAACTTTTGTAATACATAAAATTATTGAAAAGCAAAACTTTGTAATACATAAAATTATTGAAAGCAATTCTTTTTTAATTGTTGAATAATTTTTTTGTGTATCATTCCATGCTCCAGAATGGTACCCAACTAAGGATTCAAAAGATTGATTTGGTAATTTTTGTTTAAGAATATCTCCAGAGCCTATATCTAAGGCGTCTGTTTCTACTATAAGGAATGAATCGAGATTTAGTATAGAAAGGCAAGAAAGGCTCTTAACTTTAGATTTTATGGCTTTAACTAGCTGAGTATGTTTTTCAGACCAGGGGGAAGAGTTTTTCCTTAACCTATTAAACAGTGGTTGACATAAGATTCGAATATATTTCATGAAGTCAGCAACATAGTTCAGACATCCCAAAAATCGTTGTAATTGATTTTTATCAGTAATTTCGTCTGGAAATTTTTCAGTAAAATTAATTGATCTGTCAATTGGTTTAATAGTACCTCGAAAAATGTCATGGCCTAAAAATTTGATTTTAGTTTGAAATAGTTTAACTTTTGGAGCAGAAACAACTAAACCGTTTTGCTTAACTATATTATAAAACTTTGTCAAATGAGAAAAGTGTTGATCAATATCATTTGAATAAATAAGAACATCGTCTATGTAAACTATTGAAAACTCATGATAATTGTTAAAAATATCATTCATGATATTTTGAAATTCAGAAGGGGCATTTTTCAAACCAAATGGCATAACATTCCACTCATAATGATCAAAGGGAACATTAAAGCTAGTTTTGTATCTATCAGATTCATATATTTGTATTTGCCAAAAACCTGATTTCATATCAAATTTAGAAAATATATTTGCACTATGTAATCTTTTTAACAAATCTCTTTTATATGGTATAGGGTAACTAATCCATTGTAATACTTTATTTAAAGGTTTGTAATTAATAACTAACCTAGGTGCTTCTCTTTCTATTTCTGTCGCATTCTGGACATAAAAAGCTGAACAGCTCCAAGGGGACTTAGATTTTCTAATTAATCCTTTATTTAATAAATCGTTTATCTCTTTATAACAATATTCTTGTACTTGTTTATTCATATGTATAGCTCTGGATCTAGTTGGAATATTTTTCTCATTAAAACCTTTTATACAAGGTAAATGAACTATATGTTGTTTTCTAGACCAAAAGCCAGTTGGAATATTTGAACAGACTTCTTTATTTAAAAGTTTTTCAAAGTCTTTAATTTTTTGTTGTATGTGAGTTTGTTGTAATTGATTTTCAATTCTAATGTTATTAATCTCTTGTTTCAAATAGCTTATATGCTTTTGTTTTTGTTCAATTAGATTTATGTCTTTATATATAGAGATATCTTGTATAGCACTTAAATCCTTTTGTCTAATTGGTTGCATAAATTTTAAACATATTTGATTATTTAAGATATTTGTTTTTAATCCTTCATTATCTACTTTAAAAGGATAGATTGTAGCTAAAAAGGGTGTTCTTAGTATTACTCCTGTAGTAAGGTTTTTAACTAGAATAAAAGGTATTTTAAAACAAAAACCGTCAGCACATATGCTTTTGTTAATTTATATTCTACTCTTAACTTACTACCATCAGCTGTGTATAGCCATTCTTTAGTTTTTCATAATATATAATTGGAATTAATCATTCTTGTAAATAATTTTGATCTGCACCAGAGTCAACTTTAGTTTTTCATAATATATAAATTGGAATTTAATATTCTGTAAATAATTTTGATTCTGCATCCAGAGTCCAACTTAATGCAGTCGTAGTTAAAATGAAAAAATCATTATAACTACTATTTAACTAAAACTATCCATTTCTGAAAAGCTTATAAAACTATCCATTTCTGAAAGCTTACTCTCGATATTACATTAATAAACTCATCATAAGATCATGTTTCAGCTAAATTATTTATTTTCTTATTTTCTGAGGGTTCTGCTTGAGCATCTGTAATTTTATTAACTTGTAATTGAATAATGTCTTGTTTAATTTTATTATGTTCTTGCTTTAATTCTTCTATCTCTCTTTTCACTATTTTAATTTATCCTTGTAGATCGGCTAAAGAAGGGGAAAGTTTCTCTTTATTAGTATTGAACCTATTAAATATTTCTTTTAACTCATAGGGCTCATATTGTTTTTCGTCTTTGTGTGATATCACATCTTTTAGTTTTAACAAATATTGTCTTTTAACGTCCTTATCTTCAATCTTATCTATACAGTCTAAAAGAAAATCTGTTTCTCTAGTAACTACGTTTATACTATTTATCTTACATATACAGGGACCATCACATTCACAGTTATTTATATCATTTGAACTATCTTCTAAATAACTAGATTCTATTTTATATAAATCTTCATGGTTACCACTTAGTTCTAAA